TAAGACATTTTATCTGACAGGCCTATTTAATTAATTGTTTTGCTGATAGCTAAATTATTAATAAAATTTGATTTACAGAATAAGACAAAACTATTCATTAAACTACAATAAGCAGTTATTTATCATACGAATAAACAGTGATCGAATCGCACTTCGCACTTCTTCATAAACAGCAAAAGGTTCCAGGTTCCAATCCTGGATTTGGCAACTTTTTTTTTCTCGCAGATTCCTCTTCTTTAACGTTCAAAATGTATTTATCATTATATAATATAGACAGTGTGATTTTACAGGTAAATGAGAGCATTTTGATTTGGTAAACAGGTATATATTGAGTACTAGACGTGGAAATTGTGTTGATTAATACGGTAGTTCTTGATTAAGTATTTGTTACGGTGACAGCAAGTTGAAATTAACTCTGTTCTATTCGATTATGTAAAGCTTCAGTGAAAGGGGTCTTACTGTCTTTGAGAATCCAAAATTTATGCGTGCTATTCTTGTTGTTATCGTGGTTGAAAGAGTGCTTATGAGCAGTTTATCATATTTGAAGCTGTCATTCCAGTGTGCTGTATTTTATTTCTCAGGGTTGTGACATTGGCTTTATGTTCTAAATGAGGCAATACTATCTATTGGGCACTCTTTACATTATATTTACATTAAATAATGCCAGCAGGTAAAAACATTATAGTAGTCATTTTATTATAATAATTATATTTAATATACAGTAGTAACAGTAGTAACAATAGTATAAATAGCATCAATAATGTTTATACATTTACACATTCTTATCCATCACTTAACAAGAAGAATTAACTACACACGGTATTTCTTAGGTAAAGTGACTGAATACAATACTAACATCGTTTATAGGATATAATATTATCCTGAAAATAATACAAATATTTTTGTTATTAGGCCAATGAATGTTTTAATTTAACTAATTTAAATATATTTCAATAAATAATATTTACTTTACAAATGGTATTGCACTTATTGATATACAACAACAAGAATACAATGAATATAGATAAGTGTTCATTAAAAACGTTTTAGATAGTTACCGTATACAGTACTAGGATCATGGAGCCTACTATTTTCTCAGAAATATTCTGTTATTGTATCTACTCGTTAGATGACATGATACAGGCCTATAATAGCCCTTACCTTTTATATGCATAACCACTGGCATAACTTACTGTAAATGTGCGAGGAGCCTACTATTTTCTCAGAGATATTCTGTAACTTGTTTAGTTTGGTGCCTTTTTATTATTATTTCCAACGGCTTATTTTCGTTAAAAATTTTTATTTTCACTTAATTTGTCTATTCGTTAGATGAATTGATATAGGCCTATAACCCTTTTATAGGCCTAACTAACCTAGTAATGTGCGTAGGACATGACGTACTCTCTCACAGACTTATCTACAACTTGCCAAGGTAATTGCGTTGATTTTGAAGATAACGCGTTTCACGAGTCACCTTATGTTCAACTACATTGATTAACCATTCTCTTGATCACCCTAAGAGTGTGTCTCATAATGCAACCCATTTCGCTGATTGATTTTCCTCGTATACACTATAATAAAAAGTAGATACAAGTGTTAATATTTATCATTGTTAATTCACATCAATACAACTTGATGAAGATCCGTACAATTTGAACGAACATTTAATTCTTTCAATCGATAGCATAACCAAAACGCGATGACCGTTCACCGATAAATGAAATAATTTGCAGTATATTACGTGTAAATTAAATAACTAATGCAAACTTTATCTTTACAATAGCAAGATTGATCAGTTACTGATCCAGAGGGTGGTGCGTCTTTCCCAGGTGCCCCCATCCCTCCTGCCAACAGTCCTGAGGTCAAGACTTTTGGCATAGCCCCATTTTAAAAATAATGGATCCGACACTGAATGGTACCAACACTTAATGGAATAGACAAGTGCTTTAGTCCTTACCTGAAAACTGTTTAATATATGTTGGTGTGTCTCACCAGTTTGGTAACAATTTGTAGACGTTTCTTCTAACTGTTAGAGAAAACAAAATGTAGGTTTCTTAATCATTGCCCATAGTAATACAGTTTTGTTCAAGAAGAAGTTGTTAATTTCATTCAGAAATATAAGTGTTGCATTATGAGATGTATTGTTATTCGTAATTATTATTTTTAAAGTTTTATTATAGTAAACAAATACTGTATAATCAAACAAGTCTCACTTGATCTTTCAGTGATTCGAGGGCGCTTTCTATTTGGTCTGAAATGGTACTAGTTTGGTCGAACCAGGGACTGAAGACTTCAGTTGTATTAGTGACGAAGTTGAGAGTTTGTCTGTACGTCGACCCCTTTTAAGTATACAAAAATGAACATCATGATATGATATAACAGAGCAGTTATATTATTTATTATTATTACGTCTATCATTATCATTGCAGTATTACTATTTACTTTTCTGTTGTTATTATAAAAACTATCCTTAAATAGTCGTTGTTAAGCGCTTAAGAGTATCTGCATTTAATGTTAAATATGTGTAACTGATTATTAATATAATTTTAATAATACATGCACATACATCAATACACATACAATATAATTACTATTACTATTATTATTTTGCTGCTATACATTCAAATTACATGTTATATGATAATATATATTTATATTATATTCTTTACTAGAAAATATTAACTGAACTCACCTGAGTAGGCTGAAGAAACGATTGGAAGGGAAAACTACATTGGAGCGAATCACAATTGCTCTGAATATAAAATGAATATAAGTATTACTTTATTGTATTAGAATACATATAACTAAAATGATTTTTGATACCTAATATATATATATACTGTCTCTTATACACATCTAGATGTGTATAAGAGACAGGATGGAGCCACTGCCCTCCAGCCGTCCACTCGTAGTTTATGGTGACACGTCGTAAGCAATTATATTCAGGCCTGTTTACAGTATTTGGATAAACGATAAAACACAATAAAACTTTGGGTTTCCTAATAGTGCGGTTTCACATTGATAAATATATTTATTTATTTATTTATTTTTCCGATAAACTTATCTTAGCATTGAAGACAATTTATTGTCAAGGCCTACAAATTATTAAAACGTGTTTAAAATTAAGTCACAACACACATTATCGAAACCATAGGGGCCTACCAGTATATTATATATATATACTAAAAGTAATAATAACATTAACAATAATAATGACAGTATTAATAATTTAAATCTTATTACAAAATACCTCCGAACAAATGGAAAACAGAACAATTTGCAATACAAAACATCATGGACATAACGTACAAATATACGTTACAATACAATAATTTAAGGTAAAAATATACGAAAATAAATACATTGGCGCAAGTAACGATTTGTTTAACCAATTTTTAGATTATGCAATGCGAGACATAATCATCTACTTACCTGGTCAACATTGGATAACGATTGGTGTAGCCTGTCCAATGTGATTAACCAATGCTCAGATTCTGTAAAGAGGCACGAGTCTACTGGTTTTGATGAGACCGACCAAGCAAATCCAATCAGAAATATCAACTTTAGATACATTTTTCTACAAAGAAAAGTAAAAATAGAGCTAAATGAAATAAAAAACTTTGATATAATACTTAATAATAACGGAAACAAAACTCTTTACGAAGTGTTAAATTTTGATTAATACTTTGTAAATATGCATTCACACCAACTTAGTGGGAATATGAAATAAAATGAGAGAATTCCACATCACTGCATTACGCGTACTGTGTCTAAATTTAATTGTGTCAGTTCATTTTTTTCCAGATTTTTCTTCACTGGTTTATTCTCACGAATTAGTAAATGCGCGTATAGATTTGCATCGCAGCCAATCAATGATGTAGCACACAGCATGTTAACAGTTTCATCAGCTTGCTTTGAAGTTGTAAGATACCACTTTAAGAACTTATTTGGTTTAACAGTAGGAATCCAATACTGACACGTTCACTCAGAGTGAAGAATACTTACTATATATAATATACTATAATAATTTGTTGAGTAAAAAGTTCTTTGTTTGCTTTTAACAACTGTTCATACATCAGTAGTCTGGCCGGACGTTTATATACCTTTGATACATTTTTTATTATATAAATCTTTTATAAATAGTTTAGGTAGGGAATTGTTTACAAATCTACTTATTTTGACATGCATCTCTCATGACAACATTATAATGAGTTAGTCCCATTAAATATTACATCATTATGGTGTGTTTATTTCTTCTGTGGGTTTTGAATTTCACTTTGATATACGAGTAATGAATCTATGAATTTTATATCAATTATTATTTCCGCTTTTTAATATACATTTAATAATGAGATTGATATTTATTTTCATTTTAAAAATATATATATCATCGTCCCAAATTTGACATCATGAGGATTTAATGGTCACTTTTGCTGATAATTCTGCATGTGAGGCTCTATAGATTATAAATTGTTTTGTGCATAATAATAATAACAACAATTCATTTTAATTTCATTTTTTGGTATAAATAAACATTCATGAAGGCAACATAGAAATTTTGAAAATTATCTGAATTTACAATACATTAAACAAAATTAATATATGCCTAAACTAAAACACCAGCATCAATTAATATCTCAAGAAAACTCCAACTAAATAATTTAACTACAATAATAATAATAATTATTATTATTACTATTATTATAATAATAATAATTATAATGATTATATTAATTATAATTCTTATATTAATAATAATCTTCATTGGCTACATCTTTACAAATTTATGTGCATTTTTAAAGCAAAGAATTTGCATTTAATGTGTTCAATTTACAAACATTTAAAAAAGTATATAAGCAAAATATACATATACACATTTATACAAATACACATATATACATATACACATATACATATACATACATACAAATATACATACATATACATATACATACATACATATATATAGGCCTATATGAATGATAAAATAATAAAGGCTTCATAGCCAAATTATTTACCAGGTTCTATATACTCGTGTCAGCTCCAGCATGTAACAAGGTTTGGGTTCCGTCCTGGTGAACTTGGTATTTGATATTCATGGTCATTTTGCAACAATTCGTGAAATGGAGTGTCGCCATACTGTAACATAACAAGAAATATGTGTGTAATCAATGGCAGCTACCTCATATGCACACAAACTTTTACTTGCTATAAACATTAACATAAACAATGAATAACAATAAATTCTAATCTAATACCAGCCAAATATGTACTATAATTAAACAATCATCTCAGTTTGATTATATATATATATATAAATATATAAATATATATATATATATATATATTACACACAAATGAAAATAAAACAATTGCATACGTTGACATAATAGAGACAAAATTTATTCGAGACGAACACATTTCTGACACGCCTGTGTACTTCTTCAGCGTTTACACGTATGAGAAATACAGAACAGATCAAAATAAAAACTGTAAGAAATTAACCAAGATAAATCCTAAGATAATAGGCACGCAATAAGTAATTGAGAAGTGATTAACCAATAAACAGTCGGTAACATTTGAAAGAGTAGCAAGAGAAACAAAATGTCAGCAATTAAAGGATCTGAGTTAAGCTTATTATTAATAAACCATTCATTAAAGCGGCATTTAAGTTCAGAATTTATTGTTTTGTATGCATCAGATATATTTTTATGTTCTAAAAATAGGTTAGTACCATTTGCAAACATAATTAAAAGAACATAATTACATACTGATAGCATTTCATTGATAAACATTAAAAATAGTAAGGGACCGATAATCGATCAACGAGGAACGCCGTACTTAATATGTCTTAAATCAGATTTACAATAACACACATCAACATATTGTTCTCTTTCATATAAATAGGTACGAAACCAGTCGAGTATAATACCCCTGATACCATAATAAGGTAACTTATCAATAAGTATTCTATGATCTAAGGAATCAAAAGCCTTGGAGAGGTCCAAGTATACTCCTATCGTTAACCTATCGTTAACAACTTGTTGTCAAGTGCTGATGATATTTTATCAAGCGCCTGTAATAATGCGTTAGTGGAATGACCCTCTCTGAAACCGAATTGAGACTGGCTAAGAAGATTATGTGTATTTATGAATGTAATAGTCTGGTCATAGACAATGTATATATACAGACAATGATTTTGAGAAAAATAACAGCATTAAGATCATGAATTTAGCGATTGTTATAATAGGTCTACTGTATTTAAATTAAAATGCATTTTACCACCCACGAGATGTGTACGTATGGTTTTTAAGTCACTATATAAATAATATTGCACTTTATTAAATTAATTAAAATTATTTCACTTAGCCCACTTTCAAAGAGTACTTAGATTTACATTGTTGAATGTAGGTTGCAAAAATATGTTCCTACGACTAACGGTATGTCATTAAACAACAACAAATCTTTAGCTCTGTTTCTTACTGTTGTTTACATTTTCACTCAGATATTCCGGTTTATTATGTGCCATTGTATGAAAAGGACTCAAAATAATTTTAAAGCACAGTCTCCGGTCTGAAATTGTAAGCCTGAACAACAACACAACAATGGATACCGCAATTAAATCAATCATTAAGGCATACAGGCTTGTACAACTAAATATGGTACACTCTCTACTTACATATATGTACATTTTCTTACTTAGAAGAAAAGACAATTCAAAAATTCAACAATTTAGAAGATGTTTTTGCGACGACGTGTCTACGATACAGTACCGGTGGTTCACATACACGCTTGCTTCAACCATAATTTGAATATTAAAAGACAGGTACACCAACCAGCTATCTGAAGGAAAGTTGCTGCCAAGGACAGTAGTGCCCTACCAGGCTAAACCTACAAATTATTAGTTCAGCGCTAATCCCTTATTAGCGTCGACCCTCGAATTGGTCTAGCACTGGGTACCGAAACGGTATCCGAAAAGTTTGTCAAAATATAGATTTCCGGCCGAATTAATTGCAACTTTGCAATGTTTTTCCCAGTAAAATTACATTTTTTCTAACCTCAATAGGTTTTTATAACACATTTTGACATTAATTAAGTGTTGGTTCCACATTTACAGTGGAAGGGGCGTTTGAGTATATATAGTATATATATATAGCACACACTGTGTGTGCGCTGAACCATGGATATCTCTAGGTCCCCGGTTCCCCGGAAAAGAGTAGGGGATTGTCCCCCGGTGTACTGTCCAATCACCACCAGAAGGACCCCACTGGAAATAAGTCTTCTTCTAGACTTTCGTGGTCTATCCTTGGTGTTTACACCGAATAAATCCAATCCAATCCAATCCAGTACGTATTCATTTTACACAAAAAAATAAACGCCTCCCTCGAATACACTCCCCCTGAAAAAAGTCTTCTGAACAATAAACGCCTAGTGTCGTTTATTCGACGAGATCCCAAATGATCAGCCACGGCTGGATGGACCACCCTCACAAAATATTGTTGAAATAAAATAAATAAATAAAAATAAACCAAACATTATAATTCCCCTATCTATATAGCGTTTATTTTGATTGTCAATTCTTAATATTGTGGTATAAAAAAACCATGAAAAAAACTCCCAACGCGAACACATGGATTTTTTATGCCAGGATCCTGACAGAGGCTCTAGTCAGCCCCTTATTTCGGGTGTATAATTGTAGATTTTTATTATTGATTAATTTATTTCATTTATGTCTACATATTATTATCTTAATTAAACTTTATACACATATTATAAATATGCTTATAAGACATTTTATCTGACAGGCCTATTTAATTAATTGTTTTGCTGATAGCTAAATTATTAATAAAGTTTGATTTACAGAATAAGACAAAACTAATCATTAAACTACAATAAGCAGTTATTTATCACACGAATTAACCATGGACCTATTAATAAGATAGGTCCATGAATTAACAATGATCGAATCGCACTTCGCCCTTCTTTATAAACAGCAAAAGGTTGCAATCCTGGATTTGGCAACTTTTTTTTTTCTCGCAGATTCCTCTTTTTTAACGTTCAAAATGTATTTATCATTATATAATATAGACAGTGTGATTTTACAGGTAAATGAGAGTATTTTGATTTGGTAAACAGGTATATATTAAGTACTAGACGTGGAAATTGTGTTGATTAATACGGTAGTTCTTGATTAGGTATTTGTTACGGTGACAGCAAGTTGAAATTAACTCTGTCCTATTCGATTATGTAAAGCTTCAGTGAAAGGGATCTTACTGTCTTTGAGAATCCAAAATGTATGCGTGCTATTCTGGTTGTTATCGTGGTTGAAAGAGTGCTTATAAGCAGTGTATCATACTTGAAGCTATCATTCCAGTATGCTGTCTTTTATTTCTCAGGGTTGTGACATTGGCTTTAAGTTCTAAATGAGGCAATACTATCTATTGGGCACTCTTTACATTATATTTACATTAAATAATGCCAGCAGGTAAAAACATTATAGTAGTCATTTTATTATAATAATTATACTTAATATACAGTAGTAACAGTAGTAACAATAGTATAAATAGCATCAATAATGTTTATACATTTACACATTCTTATCCATCACTTAACCAGAAGAATTAACTACACACCGTATTTCTCAGGTAAAGTGACTGAATACAATACTAACATCGTTTATAGGATTTAATATTATCCTGAAAATAATACAAATATTTTTGTTATTAGGCCTATGAATGTTTTAATTTAACTAATTTAAATGTATTTTAATAAATAATATTTACTTTACAAATGGTATTGCACTTATTGATATACAACAACATGGATACAATGAATATAGAAAAGTGTTCATTAAAAACGTTTTAGATAGTTACCGTATACAGTACTAGGATCATGGAGCCTACTATTTTCTCAGAAATATTCTGATAATGTATCTACTGGTTAGATGAAATGATACAGGCCTATAATAGCCCTTACCTTTTATATGCATAACCACTGGCATAACTTACTGTAAATGTGCGAGGAGCCTACTATTTTCTCAGAAATATTCTGTAACTTCTTTAGTTTGGTGCCTTTTTATTATTATATCCAACGGCTTATTTTCCTTAAAATTTTTTATTTTTACTTAATTTGTCTGTTCGTTAGATGAATTGATATAGGCCTATAACCCTTTTATAGACCTAACTAACCTAGTAATGTGCGTAGGGCATGACGTGCTCTCTCACAGACTTATCTACCACTTGCCAAGGTAATTGCGTTGATTTTGAAGATAACGCGTTTCACGAGTCACCTTATGTTCAACTACATTGATTAACCATTCTCTTGATCACCCTAAGAGTGTGTCTCATAATGCAACCCATTTCGCTGATTGGTTTTCCTCGTATACACTATAATAAAAAGTAGATACAAGTGTTAATATTTATCATTGTTAATTCACATCAATACAACTTGATGAAGATCCGTAAAATTTGAACGAACATTTAATTCTTTCAATCGATAGCATAACCAAAACGCGATGACCGTTCACCGTTAAATGAAATAATTTGCAGTATATTACGTGTACATTAAATAACTAATGCAAACTTTATCTTTACAATAGCAAGATTGATCAGTTACTGATCCAGAGGGTGGTGCGTCTTTCCCAGGTGCCCCCATCCCTCCTGCCAACAGTCCTGAGGTCAAGACTTTTGGCATAGCCCCATTTTAAAAATAATGGATCCGACACTGAATGGTACCAACACTTAATGGAATAGACAAGTGCTTTAGTCCTTACCTGAAAACTGTTTAATATATCTTGGTGTGTCTCACCAGTTTGGTAACAATTTGTAGACGATTCTTCTAACTGTTAGAGAAAACAAAACATAGGTTTCTTAATCATTGCCCATAGTAATACAGTTTTGTTCAAGAAGAAGTTGTTAATTTCATTCAGAAATATGAGTGTTGCATTATGAGATGTATTGTTATTCGTAATTATTATTTTTAAAGTTTTATTATAGTAAACAAATACTGTATAATCAAACAAGTCTCACTTGATTTTTCAGTTTTTTCAGTGATTCGAGGGCGCTTTCTATTTGGTCTGAAATGGTACTAGTTTGGTCGAACCAGGGACTGAAGACTTCAGTTGTATTAGTGACGAAGTTGAGAGTTTGTCTGTACGTCGACCCCTTTTAAGTATACAAAAATGAACATCATGATATGATATAACAGAGCAGTTATATTATTTATTATTATTACGTCTATCATTATCATTGTAGTATTACTATTTACTTTTCTGTTGTTATTATAAAAAATTATCTTTAAATAGTCGTTGTTAAGCGGTTAAGAGTATCTGCATTTAATGTTATATATGTGTAACTGATTATTAATATAATTTTAATAATACAGGCACATACACCAATACACATACAATGTAATTACTATTACTATTATTATTTTTGCTGCTATACATTCAAATTACATGTTACAGTATATGATAATATATATTTATATTATATTCTTTACTAGAAAATATTAACTGGACTCACCTGAGTAGGCTGAAGAAACGATTGGAAGGGAAAACTACATTGGAGCGAATCACAATTGCTCTGAATATAAATGAATATAAGTAATTACTTTATTGTATTAGAATACATATAACTAAAATGATTTTTGATACCTAATATATATATATACTGTCTCTTATACACATCTAGATGTGTATAAGAGACAGGATGGAGCCACTGCCCTCCAGCCGTCCACTCGTAGTTTATGGTGACACGTCGTAAGCAATTATATTCAGGCCTGTTTACAGTATTTGGATAAACGATAAAACACAATAAAACTTTGGGTTTCCTAATAGTGCGGTTTCACATTGATAAATATATTTATTTATTTATTTATTTTTCCGATAAACTTATCTTAGCATTGAAGACAATTTATTGTCAAGGCCTACAAATTATTAAAACGTGTTTAAAATTAAGTCACAACACACATTATCGAAACCATAGGGGCCTACCAGTATATTATTCATATTATATAATATTTTTGTCTTTGTATAGGCCTATTATATATTAGATATTATAAAAACTTTTATACCGGGCCTATTTCTGGTTTTCTATGTTTTTAATTTACATAATAATTTTATATTTCAGACCTGTCGTTCCTTTTTAGTTGAAAGTTATGCCTACCTGTTAATACATGTATATCAAAGTAAGAAATAGGCCTATACTAGCGATAATGCTATTAAATAGGCCTAAAATTATAGTTATTATCTCCTTTTAAAATTTCAAGATATGGCTTAAAAATTACGTTGTTATCCTTTGATCTCAAGCTTAGTAGTGTTTTAATTTTTTGCGTTTTATGCCCTGTGATTTCTGTAGTTGTTTATTGTTGAATTATAATATTATACTAAAAGTAATAATAACATTAACAATAATAATGACAGTATTAATAATTTAAATCTTATTACAAAATACCTCCGAACAAAGGGAAAACAATTTGCAATACAAAACATAATGGACATAACGTACAAATATACGTTACAATACAATAATTTAAGGTAAAAATATACGAAAATAAATACATTGGCGCAAGTAACGATACTTATAATACTTATAACATGAAGTAGGTGTTATTTGGCTTTAGGATGTTATATGGTTTAGAATTTCTCGTTACGTTACAGTATTCTGACCTTCAATTAGGTGCCGCACCCGTAGACTATTCGATTTGTTTAACCAATTTTTAGATTATGCAATGCGATACATAATCATCTACTTACCTGGTCAACATTGGTTAACGATTGGTGTAGCCTGTCCAATGTGATTAACCAATGCTCAGATTCTGTAAAGAGGCACGAGTCTACTGGTTTTGATGAGACCGACCAAGCAAATCCAAGCAGAAATATCAACTTTAGATACATTTTTCTACAAAGAAACGTAAAAATAGACCTAAATCAAATAAAAAACTTTGATATAATACTTAATAATAACGGAAACAAAACTCTTTACGAAGTGTTAAATTTTGATTAATACTTTGTAAATATGCATTCACACCAACTTAGTGGGAATATGAAATAAAATGAGAGAATTCCACATCACTGCATTACGCGTACTGTGTCTAAATTTAATTGTGTCAATTCATTTTTTTTCCAGTTAAGATTTTTCTTCACTAGTTTATTCTCACGAATTAGTAAACGCGCGTATAGATTTGCATCGCAGCCAATCAGTGATGTAGCACACAGCATGTTAACAGTTTCATCAGCTTGCTTTGAAGTTGTAAGATACCACTTTAACTTATTTGGTTTAACCGTAGGAATCCAATACTGACACGTTCACTCAGAGTGAAGAATACTTACTATATATAATATACTATAATAATTTGTTGAGTAAAAAGTTCTTTTTTGCTTTCAACAACTGTTCATACATCAATAGTCTGGCCGGACGCTTATATACCTTTGATATATTTTTTATTATATAAATCTTTTATAAATAGTTTAGGTAGGGAATTGTTTACAAATCTACTTATTTTGACATGTATCTCTCATGACAACATTTATGAGTTAGTCCCATTAAATATTACATCATTATAGTGTGTTTATTTCTTCTGTGGGTTTTGAATTTCACTTTGATATAAGAGTAATGAATCTATGAATTTTATATCAATTATTATTTTCGCTTTTTAATATACATTTAATAATGAGATTGATATTTTATTTTCATTTTAAAAATATATATATCATCGTCCCAAATTTGACATCATGAGGATTTAAATGTCACTTTTGCTGATAATTCTGCATGTGAGGCTCTACAGATTATAAATTGTTTTGTGCATAATAATAACAGCAACAATTCATTTTAATTTCATTTTTTGGTATAAATAAACATTCATGAAGGCAACATAGAAATGTTGAAAATTATCTGAATTTACAATACGTTAAACAAAATGAATATATGCCTAAACTAAAACACCAGCATCAATTAATATCACAAGAAAACTCCAACTAAATAATTTAAATACAATAATAATAATAATTATTATTATTATTACTATTATTATAATTATAATGATTATATTAATTATAATGATTATATTAATAATAATAATAATCTTCATTGGCTACATCTTTACACATATTTCTGTGCATTTTTAATTTTCAAAGAATGTGCATTTAATGTGTTCAATTTACAAACATTTTAAAAAGTATATAAGCAAAATATACATATACACATTTATACAAATACACATATATACATATACACATATACATATACATACATATACATATACATACATATACATATACATACACATATGTATGTATATGTATATGTATATACATACATATACATATACATACATACATATCTATAGGCCTATATAAATGATAAAATTAAAAAGGCTTCATAGCCATATTATTTACCTGGTTCTATATACTCGTGTCAGCTCCAGCATGCAACAAGGTTTGGGTTCCGTCCTGGTGAACTTGGTATTTGGTATTCATGGTCACTTTGCAACAATACGTGAAATAGAGTGTCGCCATACTGTAACACAACAAGAAATATGAGTGTAATCAATGGCAGCTACCTTATATGCACACAAACTTTTACTTGCTATAAACATTAACATAAACAATGAATAACAATAAACTGTAATCTATTACCAGCCAAATATGTACTATAATTAAACAATCATCTCAGTTTGATTATATATATATATATAAATATATATATATATTATGTATTAACATTAACATAAAGAATGAATAACAATA